TTTTATAATGCATTACATAGAATTGTAATGCATTATAACACTGAACTGTTGCCCTACTACTTATAAACCATTAGTATCTCTTGCTAAATAATAATTGGTATGGGAGTGTAAATATGAACCAATATTTGCAGGAGTTATTGCTCTATAAGCATGATGCTGTAGAATAAAGCTCTAGGCATATATTGCTCTCTGTCACTCATACAAGAGACATTTCTTAAATGTAACTGAATAGCTCCTTTTTCTTGTGTAACTAGACTGATGCCTGTTTGCACTCTAAATATTTATTACGCAATCATCTTTAAGAGTTCATTTTTGTATATCTAGCTATTTCTAATGTGACTATGTAAGTAGAACCTAATGAAAAAGCTAAACAGAATGTTAATGTAATTAAGGAATATGCACTATCTTTTAAGTAAGCATTTCAATTAAAAATAAATAAAACCCATTACATGGTGGTACAGTGCAGAGATCTCATTTTCATCAGTCAAGATTCATTCTTATTCAAAAAGTGACAGATTTCTCTCGAGAGAACTGGAAGCAGCAGTCTTCTCTCTCCACTCAAACCAGGCAGATGTAGATAATTAAGGGGCCACAGACAGATCACTTTCCCAAAGTTCAGACATCTCTCGATACCACATTTTATGCATAAAATGTCTTTTGAGATTGTTGTTGTTTTTCGGTGGTCTCTCTGATACGGTCAGTAATTTTATAATAAAATTTAAATCACATCTAAGTGCATTATAAAAGCTTATATATGTATGAATTGCTTTAACACTTCAGTAACATGACTGCAGCCATATCACCTTGTGGTGTTAGCCTGTCCACTCTCATAAAACTAAAGCGTATGAGGCTGGGTTAATTTTTGAATAGAAGATCTCATAAGACCTTCCAGTGGTAGGTGTTGCAGATGTTTCAATGGGAGGCACTCCTCCCATTTGTCTATACTGCAGTCATGGGTTGTGACTGCAGCTCCAATAGACATACTTAAGCTACCTTTAATTTAGCTCGCTTAGGTGCCAAAGCAGTGAAGCCATGGCAGCGTGTGGGGTGTACAAGCCCACCCAGTACCCTGGGTAATTACTCATGGGGCTATCCCATGTGTCAGTACACGCTGCCAGTACCTAAGCTAGCTAGATTAAAGTTAGCTCCAGTATGTCTACTCAAGCTTTAGTCACACCCTGTGACTGCATTATAGACATACTCTTAGTGATGAATCAAAGCCTGGTGTGGTGCTGAACACAGCTGCTGGAGGTTCCATCTTTGCAGTCAGCATCATGGCCACTTGTGTTGATTAAAGATCACTTGGCACTTTTCAGTATCCTAGTCAAATTCCAACTCATATGACAGGTAGTTATGGAACAATCTACAATTGTGTTTCCTCACAGGCTGTATCCGGTGAAATAAGTTGGCATTCACACATGCATGTCTTCTGTCCTCTGTCCCTTATGCAGAAATAGGATTTGTTCTGCCTGGATCACATCATTGGTTCCTCTGTTTTGGTATCCTGCTCCACTAAATGCCACTGATGACTCAGAAGAAAGCAAAAATAAAAGCCAGCAATTAGAGCTGACTGAAAATTTTCTGAGTGTTTTTCAAGCAGAAAATGCCAATCCATTTACCTCAAAATATTCTACAGGGACACATCAATTTTGATGAAATTTTGTTTTGGGGGAAAAAAATCAAAATGAGGATTTTGATAAGGGCAAATCATTCAATTTCAAGCTTATAAGAATGGAACATTGTGATTTTAATTTTGAAATGATTTTGTATTGAAATTTGTTTAAATTATGTGTAAAATAATACAATTTAAAATACAATTAAAATAAGTCAATATAGAAATGAATTAAGACAGGTTCACTGACCTAAAGCAAACTTTTTTGTTCAGATTCTTAATTAATTTTTCCCCCCAAAATGTCAGAATTTCACATGGAACAGAAATTTCGGTTCCTGGCCACTACTACCAACAATGCATCTGACCAATGGGCTTTGAATCAGATCCCCAAAGTAGTTTCCACAGGGAAGAGTCCCTGCAGATTCTTTATTAAGGTGGTCCTTTTCCAACAGTTTTTCTGTTACAGGAATGAGAGTCTTTTTTCCTACTTTGCTAGTGTATGGTCCAGCTCCTCCACTAGGTAACTATGCAAAAAGAATGTTTGTTCTTTCATTTTTCTTGACAGGAGTGCAAGCCGTATGTGGTCCTGCCATTGGCTTTTTATCATCTATTCAATATTTTCCCAAATATCCCACTTCCTATTTGGCAGTAGAGGTGGTTTCAGGAATTCTCCACAGTGATCTGAGACACACAAAACAACCATAGATAATTTCTTGTTTCTTTATGGCTTGGAAAATGCATTGTTTTGTGGAGCCCTTTTTAAGTTTTTTAGCCTCTAAGAGTAGTAATCCAGTCAATTTAGTCTGTGCAGAGAAGGGAAAATTAACTTGCAAGTTAGCTTCTCTGAAGTTATCGTTTGACTTGCTTCCCTGCTTGCCTACTCAACTTCCACTGAAAGTTGGGAAGTAAAAGATTTGATTACTTTCTTTCTGATCATACTATCATATATATCAGGGGTCAGCAACCTTTCAGAAGCGGTGTGCCGAGTCTTCATTTATTCACTCTAATTTAAGGTTTCACGTGCCATAATACATTTTAACATTTTTTAAAAGGTCTCTTTCTATAAGTCTATAATATATAACTAAACTATTGTTGTATGTAAAGTAAATACGGTTTTTAAAATGTTTAAGAAGCTTCATTTAAAATTAAATTAAAATGCAGAGCCCCCCGGACCAGGGCCAGGACTCGGGCAGTGTGAGTGCCACTGAAAATCAGCTCATGTGCCGCCTTTGGCACGCGTGCCATAGGTTGCCTACCCCTGGTATAAATATTTATTTCTGGCATAAACTATTCAGGGGGGATTAGAAGCACTTTGCTGCTGAGACACTGACAGTCTGTTCATGACACTCACCTACCCAGAGCAAAATAACTTAAGTGAAGAACTCCCACTAGCTCTCCATCTCACACCAAAAGCAGAAGACTCAAAACCAGGAATTCAGTCAAATTTTATCTTCAGAGAAGATCAATCATAGGTAAGTAACTGTCCCTTCCCATCCTTTGATCAAATACATCTACTCTTCCTGCTTTGTTTAGGTTTCCAAAACGTCTAAATTTACCTCACTACAGTGTTTCCTTTATTTAGCATAAGAAATGTTGCAAATACCAGATTATAGTTAAATACCATGTAGCAGTAAATCACTTTGCTTTTTTATTTTAGTGGCAACATCTTTTTTCTTCTTCTTCTTCTCTGCAGGAAGACGGCTTCAAAGAACCCTGATCAGAAGGCAAAACAGAATAAAGAGGTGTCTCTTCTGAACCACAAAGGTGAACCTTCTATGGATTCTGTGAATTTTTAACTCTTGGTATTTTAGTCTCTCGGTGTTTGCTGGTCTCTTAAGTTTCTGGAAAATGTGTGTATATAATGGAATATATTTTAGAGCATAGATGTTTGATTTGCTTTTTATATTTTAATTGCTTCTACATCTGATATGAAAAAAAGAGAGATTTTCCTTCAAGTTTAGATTAAGTTGATTGAAAGTTTGTTTCATGACTCTATAAAGCAGATTTACCTAGCTGGCAATATTGAAGTTCTATCAGTGCCAAAGACCTCTAGCTTGTATCTTTAGAGCACCAACCACGATACTATCTGGTGCTTTTAGTCTTTTTTATGTCTTTACATCTGGATCAACATCATTTAGCCTCATTGTGATGAGACAGACCCAAAAAACAGTGTAAATCAGGAAGTCCTGGGATTCTGAGCTAGGACTTTATTCTGAAGTATCACTCACACTTGTGAAGGAAGTTCTATATATGCTGGAGAGAAGCCAGAAGCATTTTGAGAGTGGACTGGTGGGAAACCTTATCCAACACCATGATTTTAAGTGGTAGGTGATGCATCATTATTTCCCTTACCATCTTCAGCAGTGGTACAGAAGATTACATCTGACAAGTGTCTCTTGCTGTCAAGATCTCTACCTTGCCTGGCAATCTAGCACTGGAGAAAGATCTGTCAGAATTTACAAGGTAGGAGATTCTGACACACAATAAAGTTGAATCAATTGCAATGTTAGTAATAGGTAGACGGCTCACCTCCAAGAAAGTGCAAAGATATGGTCAGTGAAGAAATTGGCACAAAAGGGCTTTGCAAAAGTGGGATTTGTTGTTGTTCATTTATAGCACATAATGGGCACTGCTAGGCACTTTCCAAATATTTGAGAAGGATGGTACCTACTCAGAGGAGATCACAATATAAAGACTGATAGACAAGTAAACAGAGGCTAGGAAAATGGGAACAATAATAGGCAATTGCTATACAAATCAACTTGATTCACTGTAAACAACATGACAAAAATGGGTCTTTAAGAGGGACTTAAATATGGACAGGGTAGAGGCTCTATGGATGAGTTCAGGAAGGTCATACCTAGAGTTGTGCAAAGAACTGATATTATTTGGTTTGCTGGCAATTCCAATAAAATTGTTTGGGGTGGAAATAAATGCTTTGTTTCTAAATGTTTCATTTTGATTTTGAGCTTTTTAAAGCCTTTTTTTTAATTAAAGAAAAATTTGAATTAAAAAAATCAAAATGTTTCAGTTTTTAAACGTTAAAATGAAACAGTTGGATTTTGGGGGCATTTTTTTTCTGACAGAAACAATTTGGTGAATTCTGCATGAATTTTTAAAACGTTTCAGTTCGCCCAAATCTGCATTTGTTGCTGAAAAAAGTTTTGATCAGAAAATTTGCCCAGCTCCTGGGCATACTGTGTACTGGAAGCTGCATGGAAGAAAGCGCAGAGGTGTTATAAAGAGGGATTTGAATTTCTTCCTTCAGAGAAGATGGCTGGTTTTGAGTAGCTCTAGAACCTGGGTCTTCTGCCTAGGCCACACAAGGGACCTGTTCTAGAAAAGTTATACAATGAAATCTACTTACATGACAGCTATAGGACTTTACCTTGTGTGGTGTAGTCTGCATCTTCTGACTCTCCACTGCAAAATTTTTCATGTTCTTAATCGTTCTGCCCCCTGTCATGAAAAGGTGAAAAAAAATAGGCTGAAAACCAGCAGGGAATTTGAAACATGGAAGCTTTATATTTTAGGGAAGCAAATGAGGCCTCGGGGGAGTGATTTAGGGTTATACTCACCATTTTCACTGGCATTTTTTATCCTGTTCTGAGCTGCCTGATGTGGCTTTGAAGCACCACAGTACATATTTTGATACACCTGTATAAAGACAGTAACAAATCATTGCTCCTTTTACCAAGGCTGCCAATCTGAGTACATCACAATACATCACGAGCAAGTGTCTATATTCAGATATATTGTGTGATGCTGTCCTAACAGTTCCACAGAGCAGCAGCAAACAGAAATGAGAGCACTGCAGTGATATGTGAAAACAAGCAGACCTGCTGTAACTAGGCATTTTTTATTATATGGGCTTGATTTTAAGAAGAGCTGCCTACTCACAACTCCAGCTGACATCAATAGGAGCTCCAGCACTTCTGAAAATCAGGCCCACTATCTCTGAGTATTATCTAGGATTAGCAGGTATAGCTTCTGAGAGAGAGAGAGTGTATGTGTGTGTGTGTAGTTTAGCACACAGAATGATGACAGGATGGTTGAGCAAATGCCCCAGTGCCATTCAAGAAATACAGGCTAGCATTTAGGGCTCAATCTTCCTCCAAATGAAGTCAATATCAAAACTTCCATCGACTTCAGTGGTGCAATAACTTGCCCTTACAAAGAAGTCACAAAACTAAATTGATGAGGGTACATCTTCCAAGTCCATTGCCAAATGGCTAATTAGACTCCAAACAATCAAAAATGCAATACTAAGGCAGGCCAGATAGAGGGGAAAAACAGAACAGTATTTAAAAGTGGTAAAACATTAAACCCATTTTAAATGTATTGCCCACTGGGAGCTATTCAGAGCAGACCCTCCAATGTTTTGACCTCCAATAGGTCTTGTTCTCAAGTCATTGGCCATAGAAGCCCAGCAGGTATTCCTAATGAACACAATAACAGATCCAATTACTTCAACCAATAAGCATTAAAAAGAAAATGCAGCACCAAAAGCCTTTATTGCTTTGTTAATTCAAATACATCTGCAGATATTACAATAAAGACAAGAGCACTGCATCCTTACCCCTTCACTTGTCTTTTCTGCAGACTCCACATGCTCTAGTCTTTAACTCTTTCCTCACAGGTTTTATTTTCCAAACCTTGTATCTTTGTTGCTTTCTCCTAAATTCTCTTCCTAGTTTGCCTGAAATGGGCTGTCCCAAAATGACAGGTTTCAGAGTAACAGCCGTGTTAGTCTGTATTCGCAAAAAGAAAAGGAGTACTTGTGGCACCTTAGAGACTAACCAATTTATTTGAGCATGAGCTTTCGTGAGCTACAGCTCACTTCGAAAGCTCATGCTCAAATAAATTGGTTAGTCTCTAAGGTGCCACAAGTACTCCTTTTCTTTTTGTCCCAAAATGAACGCCTTTGTCTAACTGAAGTCAAATTGATGCTGAGTAGATTGGTTTAATTACCCCCATTTTCTTCATGTGTGTTTCTCCCATCATAATTTATAATCTTCTTCAAGTAGTTGCAGCCGTATATTCCATGTGGGCATGTGCACATGCTGTGCACCAGAGCCGGAGAACTTTGCCTAGCAACCCCTGTAGGGAAGGCGCTCACACCTTGCCGATGTATCCCCTCCCCTGGCCAAATAAGGGTGGTGCCATCCCAAACCCCTCTGTTCCTTCTCACCGCCCATGGCTAGAGTCAGAGCTGTTTGGTGTCTTCACCTCACACTTCCACCATCAGTTTTCTGAGAACTTTGCTTGTATATAGTAGTAACAGTATCTTAGATGTAGTTTAAAAGTTAGTTTTGTGTTAGTAGAGTAGTTGGCTTCCCTGTGAGATGCCCTCATTGGGGTTCGAGCATTGTACATCATGTAGGGCGGCCATCCCCAGCAGCAACCCCCACCCAAGGTGCTTGTTGTGTCTTAGTGAGGGACACATTAAAGATTGTGAATAACTTGCAGATGGAGCACCAAAGAGGACTCGGGTCAAGAGACTTGTGGTTGAAGAAGCACCTTCTGGAGCAGGCTGTGAGTAGAACTCTGTGTCTGTCACGGAGGTCACAGAAGTCACAGATTCCATGACTTCCTGCAACTTCCATGACTTCTGCAGCAGCCAGTATGCCTGACCCCAGGGCTGCCCATGCAGATGCTCCAGGGCAGATGCTCAGGCTGCCTTGGGGACAGCCACACCAGCCGCTGCTCGGGCAGCCCCAGGCAGCAGTCCCGGGCCAGCGGAGCAGCCTCAGTCTGCGGCCCCAGGCAGCGGTCCCCAGCGGTTTCAGCCACGGGGTATCCATTGAGTCCAGTACCGACGACGACGGCACCAGAGCCAACCATCTCCATGCCAATAGCATACCAGGCAGCACCCGACATTCTTTGCCTCTCAGTCCTGGACTCTAGTTCAGGAGTTCTCCAGTGCTATGACTTTTACCAGCTCTTCCTCCATTCTGCCTCCATCACCTTCTGGCCAGGTTGCAGAGCCGCCAGGTCTGTCAGCACCGCAGCTCACATCACCTGGGCTGCAGACTGTGGCATCAAGACTGGGTCTGGCACCGAAGACCCTCTTAATGTTGTGCATCCTTGGGTCCTGTCATTGTAATGGTGGCAGATCCCGTCATCTAGTTTGGTACTGGCCTCGGTGCCAGTGTTTCTCCTGGTACCAAGCAGGAGTGGGTTCCATTTGGTGCCATTGGTGCTAATTCCCCACTCCTCTTCAGCACCGATGATGCCTCCATATTGGGCTTCAGATGAGTCTGATCAGTTGTTTGGCCTATCAGGGCTGGCTCCCCCGTTTGTCACCACAGAACCTCCAAGATTCCTCAAGATCCAGGTCAGTGTCCTCGTCAGATTGCCCTTTGATCCCTATCAGTACTGAGATCAGGATAGGGGCTCTTGGTTTGGTGCCTACTGACCACCAATACCTTATCTGTATACCTAGTGGTTTCCTTGGAATCCCTGGGACACTCCACAGTCCCTAGTGTCCTACTCCTTGACCTAATCCAGAGAGATATCACTGGTCCCGCAAGTGACTCCTGCTCCCATACTGTCTCAGCTGCAAGTGACCACTGAGTCCATTCCCTCGGCACCTACGGGGCTCTTCTGACCCAATCCTGTGGTGCAAGAACATGATTCATTATTGGCGCAGTGAACTGCCTCCTCACCCTCCTTGGATGACTCTACCATGACAGAATCTTCCTCTCCCTCGGTGCCCGAGGATTTTAAAGTGTATCAGGAGCTCCGGAGGAATATGACCACTACTTTGGGCATCCACAGGGAATTCCTGCAGGAGATTATGCATAAACTGCTGGATATTCTCCAATCATCAGCTCCAGAGAGAGTAGTCCTCCCAATAAATTAAAGGCCTGCACAGGCCCTCTGGAATACCCCCTCTTCATTGCCCTTATGGCAAAGCATTCAGAGAAACAATAGTTCGTTCCCATGCAAGGGTTTGAGGGTTTCTACTCTCGCCAGGCCCCTAACTCCCTGGTTGTGACTGCATGGCTAAATGAGGAGGAGGAGGACTGATGTTCAGAGTGTGTCCAGCAGGTCTTGCTTGACAGGGAGAAGCCCTCCACTGGGCAGCCTATTCAACCAAATGGAAGTGATTCTCGGTATGATAGTTAGCCCAGGGAGATCAACCGACACTCCAAAATATCCTGGATACAAGCCAGTATCTGTTATACCTTCAGTCTTCTGGTCTTATAAAGTCCACCTGGTGGAAATTTTGGCATTTCATCCACCTATGCGTGGGAAGTTGGTGTTTTCAAATTCCATGGCAGTGAGGTTCTTGAAAGGAGTCACTCATCTCCACACATCAGTTAAAGAGCTGGTTCCTTTGTAGGGCCTTAATTCAGTTTTAGAGGCTCTTATGAGACCTCCATTTGAGCCTCTGGCAACTTCTTCTTTCCCCTTTGTGTGTCATAAAAATGCCTTCCTTGTGGCAGTAAATCTGCAAGGAGAGTGCGTGAGTTTCAGGCTTTGATGGCAGAGCCTCCTTACACTCAGTTTTGTAGAGACAAAGGACCCCTGCAGCCACACCCTAAAGTTTTTATCTAAGGTGATTTCCCAGTTTCACTTGAACCAAGTTAAATATCCTCCCTAAATTGCGTACAATCCCAGAGAAGCAGCATCTTTGCACATTGGATGTCAAGTAATGTTTAGCTTTTTATCTGGATAGAACTAAGCCTTTCCATTCCTTACCTCTTCTATTTGTTTCATATGCAGACTGAATGAAGGGTCAAGCAGTCTCTTCACAGACAGTGTCCAGGTGGATGACTTCCTGTATCATGACAGCATGAAATAGCCCAGACTACGCTGACTCAAGGGATATGAGCTTATTCCATGAAAACTCAGGTGATGTCAATGGCATTTCTAGGTGACGTTCCTATATTGGACATTTGCAGGGCTGCTACTTGGTCCTCTGTGCGTACTTTTGCAAACCACTATGCCATTAAGGCTGCGTCCAGATGAAATCCAAACTTTGGGAAGGCAGTCCTGTAGTCCTTCTGTAAGTACACTCAGAGCCCCGCCTCCTATTAGTACTGTTTGCGAGTGGCCCACAAGGAACGCACAGCTACATCTCCTCAAAGAAGAAAAAACACCCATCTGTTGCTTTTGTTCTTCGAGATGTATTCCATGATCCACCCTCCATCCTGTCTGCATCAGAGTCTGTACTCCTGATATTCGGTGCGAAGGAACTGAGGGGTTTGGGGGCAGTGCCATCCTTATATGAGCAGGGGGGGAGCCTTATATACAGCTCCAGGGCACAAGCGCCCCCCCCCCAAGTGTACTGCTAGGCAAAGTTCTCTGGCTCAAGTGAGTGGGGCATGCACATGCCCACATGGAATACTCGTCTGCATCACATCTCGAAGAACAACAGACACAAGCAGCTAACCATTTGTTTATAAATCTTCAGTCATTTGACTAGGATAAAATGCTGATGCCTTCTATTGTCAACACAAGATCTATAGATTTAAATGAGCAGGTACAAATTCACTTCAAATTCTGTACTTACTACTCGTTGTCCGAGATACTTTGAATCGTCTCTGTAACCTGGATATTCATAGCATTTGCCTGGAAGGAAAACAAGAAATGAAAGCCTTAGAGTGAGTAAAATGTTCAGTCCAATTTCTTGATACATTATCAAGTTGATTATCGTTTTTAAGTTCAACAGATGTTTTGTTGAATTTTACAGTACACAAATATACACAGAGAGGAAAATTAGGCTACCAAATTAAACAGTGTCTCCCCAGCTCATCCTCCACCCTCCTGGGGAAATTTTGTGGGATGGGGCCACAGAGGAGGTGATCTCCTTGCAGTTATTCACCTTGCCTGCCACATTTTGCCATGTGAGGAGCCCACCAAGGCCTGAATGAAAGGCCCAAGGCCTGCTCCCAAACTTGGCAGCTCCCCAAGGATCTGAAGGATATCAGGTCCATCTGCATGGAGGCTTTGTGCCTCCTCAGCAGCCACCTTCTCCCACCCCACCCACTGGCTCCCCAGCAACACCAGTCCATTGGAACTGTAATACCAGGTTCTCCGCTGACCATGGCTGCCTCCAGCACATTCGGGCAGAAAAGTAATACAACCTGGGCTTGTATTTATTAAATTATCAGAGAAATTTCCTTGGAACTTTCCTTGAAACTTGGTCAGATGTGGGGCAATGTGCATCCTCCCCCTAACCTGGCCGGTCCCTTCCACTTGACCAGTGCAGAGCATGGACCATGCCAGGTCGCCACTGCAGTGGTGGGGAAAGAGCCCCACCGGTGCACATGGGTCCAAGAAGCACAATCTGGGTTAAATAGTTAAACAAGATCTGAGAGCTGAGTATATCTAATATACTAAGTAATATAAATGTTAGTTACAAATATTTATTTACATCTACTTTTTGAATGCGATTTGTTTTAATTAAAACTGTGTTGAAACAACCTGCACAAAAAATGCATATATGGAGCAATGAGAAATAACTATGGATGCATCGCTGCCCCATAACAATGGAATGCTACAATTCTTTTACTGAGTTGCTAATTCTGGATTATTAAAGATATTATACAATGACTCTTTAATACAGCTAGAGCCCTTTATTAGATCATTATCAATAATAAACTGTAACTTTGTGCACCATTCTGGGATATGACCTTTTTAAACAGCAGTGTAGTCTAGTGAGAGCCAGGAACCTCCTGGGGTGTAATCCCAGCTGTACTACTGACTTGCTGTGTGCTATTGGGCAAGTCACTTTAACGTCTCCTTGGCTGTTTCCTCCCCTATAAAATCAAGGTGATACTTGCCTCCCTCACAGTGGTGTATAGACGATTACTGAACTGAAGATTTAAACAGCACAAGGAAGATGCAAAGTGCTAGATCCGTGCAAAATATTGTTACTGGTGTTTAAGGATTTTCATTCTGCAAAACTCAGCTATAGCTAGAGGTAAACGGCCAGTGTAGAAGTGGGACTTCCCATTCTTTGACAGATGAGAGTTTACCACTCTATTTGGACCATTGATGTGGCACTTTTCATTGGTGTGGTGGAAAAGCATCATGGAGGTTTCTTTGGTAGTTTTCAAAAAAAAATTCTGGCGGAGACAAGTGAAGGAGACTAACCTGGTAACTTGACACTTTGTCAGTCAGTGACTTCAGCAGTACAGTTTCTCAAGGTACAGAGAGAGACAAAAGACAGATAAATTTTGTTCCCAGATACATGCTGGCAGCTCCCATTCAAGCGAATGAGGGTAATGATAATGTGGCCCATATAATAATAAAGAATACTTGTAACACAGCAGCATGCAGGCTTTGGGATGACTAGAACTTATGGTACATCTCCAAGTTACGTAGTCTTTACCTTTCAATTGCTGAGTTACCATGGTTATAGGAAATCACAAAGAATGTTGAAGGTTTTTAACTAGTATTTTAATATAGACTATTACACAGAAGATGATTGAGACAACAATAAATAAGGTGTTTCTTAAATATTAGATCAATATAATTGGCTTCAGTCAGACTACTCGTGCTTGCGTATCTTGCTGAATTGTGCGAGTTTAGAAAGAATTTGAAATATCTCAAAATGATAGAAACCAGAAGGAGCACCCTATTATACTGTAGGGAGTCACATTCCCTAACAGTAACAAACTTAATTTTTACCTTCTCTCACAGAAAAATCTCCACTTTTACTGTAGCTCATTTTTCCTCATCCTCCTTACAGAAGTGATAGCTAGATATTTGTTATTTATGAACTATTGATAATGTAGATGGAGAGTACTTACAATTGCCTTTCACAAGTTCACCAACAGCTTCAAAATAAAACCTACATTACAGCTTGAACTCTGTCTTGCTGAAAAAGATCTTAGTTTCAATATATTTTTAATTAAGGTCATTTAATATAGCCCTAATTTGTTGGCATGTCTCCAGTCCCCAATCCAGATCCCCAATCCATGAACTCTAACTTCAGAAATAAATTGTGTTATACAGTAAGAAAGACTGATGGTGAAAGTGATGATACTACACTGTAATTATGTGAAGAAGCTCCAGGAGTTAATACTATACTTCTGTAATTGTGATCCCCAAATCTTATGCTGCTATTAATGAAATGCTGTGGGTGTTTTATTTAAAAATAATGCTGCTTACACATGTATAGACAGACATACTAAAACATCCCATGGTTTAAGTTTAGTAGGAGGAATAAATTGTAGCAATTACTGCAGTCTGTGTTCAAATATAATATTAAAATGTGTCTAATGACAGATGACATTTAGTGACCTTAATAAATGGTGTCTGCAGCCAGTGTTCCTTTCTTCCCATGGGTGAATTAACTTAGCCTCCATGGATTTGGGACCTGGGATCAGAGGGGGCCGATGGACCCACAAACTTTGGATCTATGGGGGGACATTACCCAGAAAGTGCTGGAGGTAGCATTGGCTGGGCCAGGAACCAGGAATTTTCCACAGGTGGAGGGAAAAGATTTGATTGGGGAGGGTGAGGAGGATGGACTTCGGTTGGATCAGATCCAGGTTCCTTTGAGTTTCAGTCAACCCCTGTTTGTACCCATTGTCCATGGGCCATTTTGCAACTGCTTGTCTTTCATCTGACAATTCCCTGAAACAATTGTTTATCTTTCTGTGGCAGTCCTGGACTGGTGGCCTACTTGGTAACTGCCCGGGTTGCCTGGCCCATTTGACCAGACTAGCTAGAGGGAGCACCCCCAGAAGGCGCAGAGGCATACTGAATGCTGAGCTGCCCTTGCCTCAGATTCTGGCCAGCTGGTGGCTGCAGGGCTGAGGAACACTGCTCCACAGCACCATCTAGGCACTGCCTGTAAACGCTGCAGCCCAGGCCCGGTCATCCTGCAGCTGCTCTGGCCAGCTCCCAGTTGCTCTGTTAATGTCTCTTCATTGCCTCCCATCTACATGAAACTTTCCAAGTGTTTTCACTCTCCCCCCAACCTACATCTCTCCATATCTCTAAATCATTGTCATTGCTCCATCAGTAACAAGAATCTGGAAATCACAGAGGTTGCCAGATTGGCTAAGGAACCATCTTCAGAATAACCAAGCGTGTTAGATTTACCTTTGTCATCTGAAGCAGTTTGTTTATCACTGTTGTAATATCCAGGTATATAATGAAGCTGGTTTACCATAAATACTCTAGAGAACACACAGGGGGAGAGAATGTTTAAGTCTTTTAGATCAAACAAAAGGCTGCTTTATTTCTATAAGCTTGTGCCATATGATAAATTTGCAGCATCTTTACCTTGTCATTGGTCAGGTTTCTTTATTTATAATAAGTTATGCAGGCATTTTTTAATATCTGTTTTATTTAGGTTCTTAATGCCATGCCCATCAACACAAGAACAAGAGCCCAATGGTCCATCTGGTTGGGTATCCTGTCTCTGACAGTGCCCAGTACAAGCTGCTTTGGCAGAAGAAACCTTAGGGAATTAAGCACCAAAAAAGGTCTGTTCTTTTCCCCTGGCACTTAGAACATTCATTATGCTCTAGCTGGTCAATAAGGCATAACTTTTCAAAATGTTACATGGGAGATGCTATTCTAGTTCTATAGTTGTTTTACAGGATTCGTACGTATGTCTCTAGGAGCAGGATCGCAGGAGACAATTCTTAACTCTCTGAGACCGTTTGCAGCTAAGGGTCCCGAATGGAAGAAGGAATCTTATCTGTGGCTCATCAGCCAGGCACAGCAGGTCAGCTTCTTAGGCACCTTAGACCCGCCCCCCTTCTCCCCACCAATCTTCTCAGCATTTCACTCCTGGCTAGCTTAGATGGCTGACTTGTGAAAACCCCCTTTTCAAGTGCTTAACTATCCCCAAGGATTCTATAGGTAGCATGGAGCCACCTAACTTGGGGCTGAAAATTCCACTAAGCAACCCAGGGGTTGTGTGTTGGCGCACTCAGCTGACCAACACCTAAATCCCTTTAAAAATCTGGCCCTGAATGCCTAAAACATTTTTGCAAATGGGACTTAGATGCCTAAATTACTGAGGTGCTTTGGAATATTTTACCCTAAATCCTGCTGTGTCTGGCATTGTGAGATTGAATAGTGATCAACTACAAAACTCTGCCAGCCAGGGCAAGATTCTCCACTGCCAGAAGGGACAATGTCAGTGTGTGAATGGGGGTAATGTGAGCTCTCAGTGCGTGGTGCTGACAGCACTGGCTGCCTGGTACATTGGAAAGACACCCCATTAACCAAACGGTAAATTTCTGTCCCTTAGAGACATGATGCACAGGCCAGCAAGCCTTCCCCCTCACTCTCTCAAAGATCCTGCTCTGTTGCTTGGGTGAGGGAAAGTTGTTCACTACATCTTCCTTTTCCTCCTCCTCTTGGGAACTAGTACAGCAGAATACAGGCCCCAAATTTGCTACAACATTATGAAAGGAAGGAATACATATATCATCAAGTCAGAAAACTGTCAATTAATGTTCCAGAACCTACTTCATTTCCAAACCCTGTACTCCAACCCACCTCCCGCATGCAGTCCGAACTCTTCCCCATTAGTACACCATTCTGATGCATTCTTCACCTATGTGCAGACATATCCCTGCCTGCTCTCCTGATCTAACACAGGTTTAATTTACCTGGGAAGCACCTAGATACTTCCAGAATGGGAACTAGAGAAAACCCTCAGAACAAAGTTATATTGTGAATGTAGGGGGATGGAGCCCAGAGATGAAGAAACAACTGCTCATATGTGTATGTAGAGTGTTTTGGGCCCATATATTGAGTAACAGGAGGATGCAGGGTGGAGAACAGTCCATGATATGAGGAGCAGAATTACAGTTGTTTTTATGAGTAGGAAGGGGGCCTGCATATGCCATGTATGGCAGATGAGACTCGAGAGCAGCAAAAATTAGGTTGGTGCCGCAACTGTACCTGAGAATTCATAACATTTAGGCATTTAAAGTCTCACCTACAACAACGTAGCATATTTTAGGGTGAAATCCTAGCCCCACTGAAGTCAGTGATAAAACTCCCATTGATTTAAATTTGGCCAGGATTTCACCCTTAGTTTTTTGGTAAGGTAATATATTTTTACTCTTCAGTCTGCATTATAAGGGGTTTTTGCTTGTTTTTTAAAGGAACAACATTATGTATTTTAGATCTTCTAGTTAGGCCAGTGGTTCCATACTGGGACCCCTTTTTCATACCAAGGCCTTGCTCCCATCTAGCTGGGATCCCCCTTCAGACTTAACAATATGGGAAGGCCAAGATGGTTGCAATCGTGCAACACCTGGGGTCTCAACTCGCATATCACAAACTCAGACTTTAGGCAATTGCTAAGTTACTGAATGTCTTTCAATACTCTATTTCTGATTAACGACATGAGTCATATACATGTTTTGGCTCTATCAGGCAACAAATACTAACAGATGTTTTCCCTCAGACCCAATATTAATCAGGATAAACAATGACATCACATTCTCTCGACAGCTTGCAAAAAGCGTGCTACTGTGGCAAACTAAATTTGCTTCCACCAAGTAGGGATGCTGAACCAAAAGGAGGCAATTTTTTTTGACCTTCAAGTACTTTCTGAGATTTCTTGATGGATGGTTCCTGTTTCTTGTTAGACTTGAATAAGGATTTCATCAAAAATGGATTTTTATAAGCATGTACACTGCAAATGTTTCCATCTTCTAGCACTGTGTAAACTTGAATACGCTAAGATGTGTGCATGATATCATCAACTGTTCTTCAATACAGCACTACTGCTAATTGCTGTTCTACTAACAGGTTCAGAGAATCTGGTAGAGGACAGGAGCCAAAAACCAGAGAGGAAGAGAGAGAAGCTACAGCCTGCCCCATCAATTCTTGAATGTAATGCCTGAATTGTGAAAGTTGTCTCCATCGTTAAATGGATAGATAAGCTGTAGTGTGTATATATATATGTTTCTCTAGTTCTTTAACTTATAAAACAGAGCTAGATCTAGAATTAAAATCTGAGTAGCAAGGCAATGATAAAACGATTCTAGGTTAAGATTCTGATGACATCATAAAGAATACGAGCCCTTGCAGTTTATGATCTCATTAGAAACCCTCCTTGCAGTTCTTTACTAGCTGTTCCCATTCCAGGATTGAAAATGAAATGTGGCTAACTTAACCCTGGGTCTTAAACAGAACCTGCCGAATTTGATTAGGTGATCTTTTTATATGTTATTCTTGATTTCTAAACTGATCCTACTCGTTTTCTATAGCAGTCAGGTTTCATTCCAGTTTAGTATGTTCAAATTCCTCTTAGAAGAGATGAAGAATAAGAAAGGCCTAGTGTAATAAACCTCTCCTAGCCTCTACCTCTAAGAGGAATTTATTTTTCCACTCACATAAACTACGTATTGTAGGCTCCACTAAATAGGAATAAATCTTACTCTGGTGGATGAGGTCTGTTTATCCTGGTAGGAGAGGAGGGTTTGGTGCTCCACCTTGTGGGGTCAGCCAGCTCCTTTTTTCCATAACCAGCAGAATAGGTTGTCGCACAGTTAGCCTCTCTTTGAGCCTCCTGTCTCCAGGCTTCCCCAGCATGGCGTTGGATTTCTTTAAAAGCTTGAGGAGAGAGAGGACTAAAGGGCAAAGGCAATTCAGGAGATAAGAAGAGATAGCTCATCCTGGATGCAGCTCATAGATGCTGAGCAGCAACTTTACCTTACTTTAGAAATAATTTTCCTCAGCTGATGAGTGCTAAAGGTGATCAAGCCTAACTTTAACAAGGTTAAGGAAAGGGAAAGTGCTTTGCTGCTGTTGATAAAAGTTGCTAAGCAACAGGTCATAAAAACTCTACCAGCACTACACCCAGTAAAAGAAGAAGTAATTAGCAAAATACAAACTGGATTTTTGTGTATATTTATATACCTGCTGGGAGGAAATATTTAGAAATGAGACTTCTGCTAGGGCACTGTCTATATGTGCAGTGATAATTTTTTATTCTTCTTATGTGGGTACTAGCATCACAATCAGTCAAAGGACAGGTCAGCTGAATAGTCTCCCCTTTGACACTTCCTTTTAATTGTTAATTTTTTCATAGCAAAAATGAGGAAGGTGGTGGTAAAATAGCAGATAAAGCTATGTAGTAGGAATATATACGATTGATTAAAAAAAAATAAGGGCCTTAAAGTGATCTTAAATTACATTTATGTAAATAAGAATAAAGCCTTAGCTAATTACAGCAGTATTGCAATAAGGGAAGCATTTACTTTTCAGTGTCAACTACTGTGGAACACACACATTGTAAAGTTTCTCATTTTTGTAACAGGTGAATAGATATCATCTACTCAAACATCTAAGACCTGTGAGTACTTCAATCTCTTTGTAGCAAGATCGTGATTTTTAATCTCCATTTGGTTCCTAAAGGACAAATATTTTCTTTGCAATTGTGCCTCTAGGTAAGTGGAAACAACAATCGTGGAGACTGAAATAACCATTCAGTCTTTAATGTAGTCCATGCAGCCCAGAAATGAAGGATGTTCACAGTGGATTACATCAGTCTCTAAGTGTTGGCAATCAGGCATCTTTCACAAACACTACAGTCCCATTTAAAACAAACAAACAAAAATCCAACCACCGCCAAAAACAGAGATTTTCTTATTTGGTTACACAACATTCCCTTGTTTCAGGCTACCGTGCATGTCATGTTTCTCCTTTTTTGTCCTTTTCTTTCCATTTGTTGTTTAGCAAGATCTTAAATTGTAAAGGTAATAAGGAACATTTTAGGCATGTGTGTTTCTGCTCTAAAATGTTCTTTTCAGTTGTTTACAACTTTTTTCTTTTCTAAAAAAATGCAATAAACTTTTTAAGGGAACTAGGAACATGATTAAAAAATATATTTGCAACATCTTTGAATTGTAGATTTAGAAGCTGAACATTGGACAGGGACAGAGTTGTCTACCTGTTGGTAGTTCAGTGAAAATTGCCTGTCTGTGAACTGTCAAAGCTATAAAGGTTTAAAAATCATACTTTGTGCCTGCACGCTGTTTTTTTAAAATAAACATGCTCATGTAGCAGTCTGCCACTGTTCTATCAGCATTGCACAGACACCCTATGTTAGGAAAGTTCATCAGGAGTGCTGTCCGTGCCCCTCTATGCGAAGGCACCGAGGAAAAAGGCCGGGCTTCTCCCTCGCTGAGTGCTCATGTGTTTAAAAGGGTTCGGCTGCTGCCTAGCAAACAGTGGCACATCATGTTCAATTATATTTTTACAAAAAACAGTTTATTATTCAGTGTTGTTTATTTGTATTACAGTAGTACCCAGATGCCCCAACTCAGATCACAGCCCCATTGCACAAAAAGATCAGGAAGGCGGCAACATGCTCCATGTATATTCCGAGCTGCAAACTGAACTGATAGAGCGTTATTTGAGAAATGGTAGTGACATCATAATACTGAATTATAATATATATGCCAAACAGGATGGAGTTAAAGTTATACATCCACCCTTAATTTTGTAATTTCCTGATTTAAGTGGTTTGCATGACATCTATTATCCAGCTATTGTTAGGGAAAATATGTATCCAAGGAAAAGTATTGCTATCGAAGTCTTAAACTATGTGAAGATCCATTTCTTATTCCAAAAAGTGGAAAAAACAGAAAAGGGGTGATGTAGATTTTCTCTGAACATCCCTGAAAAATAGAATAAAAAATGTGGCGTTAGGGAGAAAACTGAGGTAGTTACTGCAGTGTGGAGGGAGTGGATACCATAGCAAGACGTGGCTACTTTTTTAAAGTAAACATCAGGAGGGAGTTCTTCTCCAAGGTTAAAAAAATAATTTTATTTACAGACAGTAGCCTCAGCAAACACACAGGAAGCGAGTCAGTGCAGCTTGCAGAGCTACACACATAAGGAACAGTCAAGAGAAGACTTATTCAAGGCTGACAAGCTTGTAAACCAGGAGGTAATGAATTTACAAAAGCGGTAATTTTGACAATGGAGCAGTCAGCCAAGTGTGGGTCACTTGGCCCCATCACTGAAAACAGAGATTAGATATGAAGAGAATAATCCAAGCTAGGAGAAGGGGATTGAATTTGCTGAGGGCACTTCAGCTGTAGATTCCTTTTAGCAAGTTTGACTGTTTAAGTAGAATAGTTTCAGATTTTCCCAGGAGATGGAAAATGGCAGCCGTTGAGCACTCGAACAAAAAGTTAAAAGGGTAAAGTTTTGTTTTAATAGATTAGCATGGATGAACTCCACTATTTTTCATCACACAGATGGTCTAGAAAAATATTGAGAAAACCAGTCTAAATGCTGTTCTCATCACTTTCTAGATCAAGCCAGTTTCCAACCGAGAGTTACGTAGCATATTAGTCTGTCCACAAGGTGGGTGCCCTCAGCCAGCCTGAAATTTAGATTTTAATTTTGTAAGTATGTACACAATCATAAAAGTGTGATCAAGACAGCCCATTTAGTAAATGAACAATGTATGTTAGAGATTAACCCAAAGAATGAAGTTCAGATGCAAACTTCACTACATTTCAGGGGGTTTAAAGCCCTGGCTTTTCATTTGGGGCATACTCTAGCTGATACAGCTTCCTCTCACATGGGTGCAATTTAGCATTATACTGTGACCAATTATGATGTCATAATAAAGCATTTGTGTTTCTACCCTCATCCTCCTATCAGAGTTAGCATGAGTACATCTAGACTGGAGCTGGATGGTACAATTTCCAGCTCCACTAGATGTACACATGCTACAAACAGCAGCTGGCATGAGCAGCAGTAGGGGTTATCCACCCAAGTACATATCTAGGGTTTCTGACAGGATCATACGGAGGGCAGCTATCTGTCATGCCCTGGATATGTCTAGCGCACTAGCTTGATCAGAACTACTTGAGCTGGAAATTAAGCCTCTAGCTCGAGGGTAGATGTTCACTCTTAGGCAGTGGTAGCTTAATTTCATGTGTTACCAACAGTGGTTTAAGCATCATTTTACCCTGGTGCAGCCAAACTACATTAGGGGTTTGCATCAGTATAACTAAAATCAGTTACGTGAGTGCAAGTTTTCTCCATACGGAAACTGCCTTTCATCCCTCACCAGCCAAACCATGGTTGTCCTGCTGTTCAGTACTATAATCCCTGAAAATGTACTTCAGCAGGGCTAGTCCTGTGAATGCACATGCATGTTTGCAGGATGGGGTCCTTCCATCTAATTTTATCCTTTCTTTTTTTATCATAATGAAGGATACTGGAAAATAAGGCAAAAGCTGTCACCTGACAGGTGAACTAACTTTAATCCTGGCAGCAAGAATTAAAGTAGCAGGACTTTAACAAGGGGGGGTTCTTCATTGTCTAAGGATAAAAAAAAATTCCTAGTGTCTTCAAAAGCTAACTTTTCTGATGTATTGCAATTTACCTAGAAGTTTAAAAAAAAAAAAAGCTGAAGATCTAGAGAAATAAATATAGATGCAAAATCAAGTATCCCCACTTTTAACATAATTAAAAAATTCAATTTACCTATGCAAGATATGAAGAATTCTTCATAGAACTCCAATTATTGCTTTATTGCTTTTCTGCAGTTTCCAAAATTGGTATTTTTTCTGTAATAATACATTTCTGCCAAACAGACCATGTTTTCCAAATAATATTTTAGAAGATCCTCCAATTTATTATTAAAGGATATCAAAATGTGCGTATAGACCTTGAATAGTCAAAGTACTTAAGGTGAATTTAACAGGAGAAAGTTTAGAAATTGAAGCTTTGATCCAGCCAAATGGCCTTAAAAAAACAACTTTGTCTATAGGGGTTTACCTATAGCTCTTTAGTTATGGAAATACTTATCTTTATCATTAAACTCTGATGTGGGTTCCACTTGAAGTCTTTATCATTAGCTATATTACCTAATGAAACTTCACCTTTTGTTTTAAAAAATTTCTATTCAGGAGATATGAGTAGGGTGTTTCCTTGGATAAATATAGCTCCCAGGCGAGGCTACTTCAATGCTATATCTGTTTGTAACACAAAGAACAGGTTTTGCTTAGGTAATTATACAGCACCCAACACTTTTGTTGTCACTCACAGTGAGGAGATGGGCAATGATCCATGCTGGCAACCGCTCCCCTTGCAGCATCTACCACTATACCAGAGCTGAAATCTGTAGCGTGGATACAATCTAATTGTAGCCCTAAACCACAGAAGGCTCCAGCAGCAGTAAGCTGTGTTATACCATAGCCATGTTTAAACACTTATTTTTGTTGTGTACATGAGACTTTGGAGACTCGTTGTTTAATGTGCTTACTGAATCAGAAAAATCTCAGGTTTTTGGTAAGTTATACAGACAGGTCATGTATGCACTGTAAAATTTAACAGGCATGTCCCCTGCAGTAAAAGTCACAGATGAGCCCAAGAACAGTTATCCTTATTTTGTATGGGGGTTTTGTTGGTAAATATAATAGGACAAGTGCTGAAAAATTTGGAAAACAGGCAAACAAATTAACTAGCTTGCTGTGACAAACAGTACCATAGTTATTTTGTTTTAACAATTTCTATTACAAGCTCATTAAGAGCTTTAAAACAACCAACATCCTTCACTATGCTGTACTCAAATAAGAGTTTTAGACGTGTACATTTTTCTTTTTGAATATAATCTGTAGTACTCCCAGAAACTAGCTTTGTTCCTCATGTGTATTATCTTTGCCTGAGTCTAGTACTATATGCAAGTATGCTGCAGTAATAAAAATGTGAAGCCATGCTTAGGAAAATTTTATTTAATGTTTAAATAATTTGTGCAAATTGATCAATGACACAGTAGAACATGGTATCTTAAGGTCTGTCTTTGAATGCTTTCAGCAATAGGTCTGCTGCCAGCCCTGGAGCTAAGACACCACTGAGAACCTTTTCTTCTAAAAGTGGAATTTTATCCCTCACTGCTAAATGACTCCGAAAATGGTCCAGCATATTTTCTTGGATTAGATTCCACATCCACACTTTCTGCTGTTTCTGTCGTTTCGTGGTCAACTCACCACTTGTAAGCATGAGATCATGAAATTCTGTCATCTTATCCCACATATCTGAAATGCCTTCTCCAGTTTTAGCAGAGATGCGCATTACCTGTTGGATTAAGGACGACATCTTAAAAGAAATTAAGTAATCATTGGGTTGGGGAGGGTGTTTACACCTGAGTTCTGCATCAGCTAGATTCTACTACAATCACAAGTTCCAATCCTAGTAAGGCAAACTCATCCTTCAGTGCTACTGTAGACCTTTTTCTCCCCCCCCCCATGCAGCTTATGTTGTGTGTCCTCCTGATGAGACTTGAAAACCAAGTTTCTGCCACCTCCAAAATGTTACTCACATCCTATAGTACTTGTGACAAAGAGGGTTTGCCTAAGTATTCTTGAACAAAGTTGCCCCTGTACTGTCTGATGGCTTACACCCAAGCAGTTGCTGCAGTTCAGTAATATAATTTGTAGAAGGTTTTAGGATCCTATCAAATTAAAGGTAAAGTATACAATATTACTACTTAAATGGGAAGTCAGTTAGGTCTTTGCATAACCACATTAATATGAAACCCTGGATAGTTTCAATACTATAACAACAGTATTAACCTCTCTTTGTACATTGGAAGAGTGATTGTAGGCTAGAAAGCAAACATCCAAGCCATTTGAAACAAGTTCTAAAAACACCCTAGTTAGAGAAGTGTTTTTAGTCAGCCAAAAAAACCCACACGGGTCCATTTTTTTTTTTTTACTATTAACACTTCACAGAGATGCCTGGTCTGTTAAATGTGTAGAGAGAGAGCTTTCACACAATGTAATAAAATCTCTAGAAATTACATATTATAGGTGTTGTAATGATGCTCACTCTATAATATGGTAACACTCTAAAAAGGAAGATCTGATGACTCTATTCCTGTGTAATTTGAAACTTAAGCTTACTGTTGTAAGGATTGTTTTCTTGCTGATATTTACAGGGCAAGGATTTGTAAACTTCTTAAAATTTCCTCTTAAAATAAAAAAGCATGTTTCTCAAAAGCGTCCATATCTAAACTTCTGCTCAGCAGTGCTGAGGAGGGGAGTGTGTGGCTTCTGCCAGTTGATATAAATCTCAAGTCACCTGTCAGCCCTCCTGGTTCATGTTTATATGGAGCAGAACTGAACCAGACAGGGAAAGACTACATTCCCGATTAAACTTTATTGGGTAAAGGTTTCAGCTCTGTGTAAATTGCTCTGCCGCTTGAACAAATTAATCACTAGACACTGCAAAGCACAAATGTATGTGCCACCTATGTAAGTATGTTAAAAGCTGAACACATTTGCATTGCAACAGAAGCAGTCAATAACACTGTTTCAAAGGGCACATTCAGGTCAGTTTGCATAACTTCCTGGGCTTTGTTTCAAAGGGATAAGCCAAATGACTAAAAATCTGATCAGGAAGCAAAGTAATAGTTGTTCTACAGTGATGTCCAATCACTAATTGGGTTTCAAATGACTGGGAGTTGAGGCACTCTAAGTGTAGGGGGTAGAATGGGAACAGAAAACCATGACCAAGGAAGCCTCATTTATATATAAAAGCATTTTATTACTGACTCTTTGCCGCAATTATGTATTCTAATTATTTGTATTGCGGTAGTACCTGAAGGCCCACAGAATCAGGGACCCATCGTCCTAGGTGCTGTACACACAGAGGAAGACAAGGTCATTGCACTAAAATCACATGACACACATCACAAGTGGGTATAACAAGGAGGAGAAAATAAAACATGGATAATAGTAGTTCCATAGGTTAGTATGGTTTACAACAAGATGGTTCCCAAACTTCTTAAAAATGTATAGAAATGATTAAAACTCAGCAAGCCCCCCTGACCCTAGGTCTAGCCATTATCACTTTGCTGTAGGCAACGTGGTAGATGTGAGTTTTGAGGAAGGATCTGGAGGCGAGAGAGAGCGAGCGAGCAATGGCTTTCTAAACTAGTTCAGGGAGGGTACCCAATAAATAAGGGATTGCGTGAAAGAAGTAGCAAAGATGTTTCAGCCACTGGTGCACAAGTGGTGCAGGAGAGACTTTTACATAAATGTCCAGGTGGTTAATATGTAGTTAGGATTAAGTTAAGTCCCGTAACCTACACACCACCTCTTCGGAAATAAAAAGAAGAAAATTGTGAAAACATACAAACCTTTGGTCTCCAAACCTTAGAGCGCTTGCGAAGCAGTTTCATAGCACTAACATATTCTGCTTGTATCCGCCGTGCAGGCACAACTAAATCCCCATCAGCTTTAGTTATAGCAACTAGATCTGCCATCTCAATTATACCCCGTTTAATACCCTGAATGGAAAAAGAAAAAGGAGAAAAAAATGAATATGTTAATGCTCAGTCATAAAACTTTGATAAACTAATGGGGCTTGTTTGTTGTATTATCTTACCCCCTGACTTTCTTCTTAGAGTCACAGACTTTAAGGTCAGAAGGGATCATCATGATCATCTAGTCTGACCTGCACAATGCAGGCCACAGAATCCCACCCACTCTTGTAATAAACCCCTAACCTATGTCTGAGCTACTGAAGTCCTCAAATCATGGTTTAAAAACTTCAAGGTACAGAGAATCCTCCAGCAAGTGACCCAAGCCCCACTCTGCAGAGGATGGCGAAAAAACCCCAGGACCTCTTCCACTCTGCCCTGGAGGAAAATTCCTTCCCGACCCCAAATATGGGGATCAGCTAAACCCTGAGCATGTGGGCCAAACACCCAGAATTCTCTGTAGTAACTCAGATCCCATCCCATCACAGGCCATGGGGCACATTTACCGCTAATAATCAAAGATCAATTAATTGCCAAAATTAGGCTATCCCATCATACCATCTCCTCCATATACTTATCAAGCTTAGTCTTGAAGCCAGATGTGTCTTTTGCCCCCACTGCTCCCCTAGGAAGGCTTAATCTTAATCGTTAGGCACCAGGAATTTCCTAATATTAGGACTGTCTGAGGTTTCATTAGTAGTTAGGCAGTTGTTATGACTCTGAACCATTAAATTCACATATTTATTCCTCTACCATGAGAAACTAACACCCTTCATGTATGTATAGCATGGGTTGGCATATATTACCTGAAAGGAGCATAACTGAATTTGCTAAACCAGTGGCTCTCAAACTTTTTTTACTGGTGACCCCTTTCACACAGCAAGCCTCTGAGTGCGAATATATACACTTTCTAATATATTTAAACACCATTATAAATGCTGGAGGCAGAGCCAGGTTTGGGGTGGAGGTTGACGGCTCGCAACCTCCTGAGGGGTCCTGACCCCCAGTCTGAGGACCCCTCTGCTAAACTAATCAGTTGTTACACAATTGATTGTTGTTGTCATCGTCATGTACATATATGAGCATTCAAAAGTGAGAAGTTAATCATATCTAATGAGTAATGTGGATCATAAGAGACTGGCCAGAACCAAAACTTCAAATCCTAACACCTGTAACATTTGGGAACATTCAGATCCAAATTTTGTGGGTCAAGTTGGTAAGATTCTGACTTCAGTGGGAGAAGAGTGAGGACACCACCAAGCACTTCGGAAAATACTACTAATACTTGCTTACTCAGACTTAATGCACACACACATTCCAAATTCAGACTTATGTTTTAGGTCATAATTAGCATTTGAGAAAGATAAATACCTGTAACTCATCTCCTCCTGCTGGTGGTAGCAGCAAAACAAACATATCAACCATGTCAGCAACTGCAAATTCAGATTGCCCCACACCTGAAAAATTGAAACCAGAATTGAACTTTCACAGCCATTCTAATGACAGTACTAAGGAGAAGTCCCACTATGGCTCCCTCTCTTTCTGAGCTCAACAAAGTTGGATACAATGAAGGTCAGTATGAAATCTAGTTTTATAAAATTCTCTCTCAGAATTTACAAGGCTTAAAGACATAACAGAAAGGCCCCATTGGGTGAAGTCAACACACACTTATGAAAGGAATGGACCAAAATGGAACAGAAAAGATGAAGTACCAGAAATAGACAAGGCAGAAGAAAAGCTGTAAGAGGAAATATGCATCATTAGTGCCATAAGTTGGCCTGGACAGTACAGTGCGGTTGCAAGCGCTAAATTTTTAATTTTTACTTTTAAATCACATACCTACTGTTTCCACAAGAATGATGTCATAGCCTCCTCCCTCACATAGCAGAATAGCTTCATTTGTGGTCCTAGTCACACCTCCTAACGTTCCCCTGGTTGGAGATGGCCTGATGTAAGCATTCATGTCCCTTGACAACTCAGTCATCCGTGTTTTATCACCCAAGAGCGAGCCTTAAACATTTAACATTAACAATTTCAAAAAGGGCAAGTAGTCCGTTAATTTTCAATAGTCAATAACATAGGTGAGTGTCTCTGCTGTGGAATCAAATGAGAATTTCCCAGTGTTGTGTGCTAGCAAGTTTCTGTGTGGCTCTTTTGGCTTGCAAGATGTGAGAATATCACAAAGTGTAACGGCAAGTTAATGCAACCCACTGACCCTAAACTCAGAGGGCTCCCTCTATGCCAGCACAGACTCTGCAAGTCCTGAGCCCCTTTATGTGATCTGAGCACAGCTGGGTCAGCAAACTCTTACCTATCTGTTATCCCTCCCACTCCATAGGAAACTGCCCAAAGACAAGCAGTGTCCTCCCAAGACGAAACTCTCCTATAGTCAATTTTTTATTTGAATTTAATGAAAATTTACTAGTATGACAAGTGTTGCTAAAGTTTAAAAGGAGACAGACCCTCTCAGTCCTCCTTTGATCCTTATCCTGACCCTTTCTCTGGTGACCTATAAGTCTTGTCTCCACTACACATTCAAGGCATATTCCGTCTAGCCACAACTAATCGCACAGTCGTTATTCATAGTTAACCTGTAACATCTCCCAGTAGTAGAATTATAACAAGTTTCAAGAGACAGATATACAGAAAATGATAACGTATTAGTCAGATACAGCCATCTATGACAAAAGGATTAAAATCTCAGTTTCTACTGGTTAGGTCCCAGATAAGTTTTCTAAATCAAGCTTAGTCAGCATTGCACCAGAGGATTTAAATTTTGGGAGGGGCAGGGTTTGCAGACGAAAGCAACATGGGTTTGGAGAGCCTGTTGCTGAAGAGCAGGTAGCCCACAAAAGTTAGTCAAGTTCAGCGGCACTGCAACATCACCATGACTTACTACACAGAAGAGTCAATCTTGGCACCAAGATAGTCCCACAGAAGTTAAACAATTTGTTCCCATTCAAGGATGATAGTGTATTTTTCCAAGATCCAAGGCAAAGCAGGAATATATATATTGGTGGGGAGAGGGGAAGGTTGAGTTGCAAGTGTATTCTGATGGCCTCTAAATGAAGAGATTATTTGGCATCACTTCCAGTCTATATCGCAAAGTTTTAACAATAACAGTACTGATCACAGAAAAGGAAGTTTTCCCTTTCCCCATACAATACCAGGAGAGAGAGGCTGTACAAGGCCACCAGAAGACAGCACAAGTTTGGGGACCTCACAAAACTGGGACTATGATGCCTAATTCCACAGCACACAAAAATGACTAAAAAGCAATATATAGTTCATTAATGTAACTTTATAGGATAAATTTTCAACCACACACACCAGAAGCACCAGATATTGTCAAGATTAAATGCAGGAGAGCCGACAAAAAGCTTTAAGACACACTCACCACCACTTGTGCTAGAGGAAGGGTCCACAGCCAGCACAGACACTTTGTGACCCCTGTCTGTAAGCATTTTCCCAAAGCATTCTATAAATGTTGATTTCCCAGCACCAGGGGGACCAGACAATCCTAAGTAGTAGGGGGACAAAAAACTCTAGTTTAATGAAATAGGCAACAGCCTCTACTGATCTTTCCTTCTCAATGCTCTTCACATGTTATGAACTAATCCCCAACACATTCCTTTGACAATAATGTGAAAGAAATCATTTGTCTTAAAAATATAATTCAGAAAAATAGTACGAGACCCTATTCCAGTTATTTACTACAAATAATCTGAGGCCTGTCACTTCTAGTAAACGACCCCTCCTCTTTTGTACACACTCCCACCTCCACACAAAACCCTCTACTAATAGAGGGGTGTAGGTTTTTTTAATTTAGATTTGACTGAAAAAGTAACTTCCCCCTTTCCCTCCTCCAGATATATCACAAAATGCAACCAACTGCTACAATTAATCACCTTCATAAACCACATACTGGTAGATTTCATCTTCCCGTTAAGGCACCTAGAATTACATGTTAATATTGAATTTTCTAATGAAGAAATCCAAACTTTCTCATTTTGGATTTACAGTGTATTACATCAGTCTGCTCTGGAGGGGATCATTCACTTCTCTAACGCTTATTCATTCTGCCCATAGCAACATAAGATTGATTTCTTTAACTTCTTCTCCTCTTCCCAAACAGAGGTTTCTCAATATTGGTTTGCACTGCAGAACTTTAAAAATGCAACATGTCAAATCTACAATTTTCAGAAATCATTTAGTATTTAAAGCTGCTGTTTCAGATAAGAAGGTGGATGACTTGCATTCTAATTTAAGACAACTTAACTAGGACTGGCCTGTTGCTTTGCGCTTTGTGCTCTTCACTAACATTTAAGATGCCATGCTCCAGTTCTTGCTTCCTTTGGGCATACAAATGCATAAGGCAATTGTGCACTACACCACTCTACAGCGATCCTTCCAACTGATATTGAAGCATTTGATAGGCTGTAAAGGGAATCTCACCCACCTCTCCTCAGCTAAAAGGTAGGTTGCTTTAAGGTGGGGCCTTTACTAATGATAAAACAACTGAAAATTTTTCCTCCTCCTTTTTTTGGGGAAAACACATGCACCTCAAGAAAAAAAGATACAGCCATTTGGTAATGCTCATCTAAACTCATCTGAACAGCTGGTGCAGCTACGCCTGCTAGCCCCCCACATTCTTCAGCTCAGCAAAACTAATCCTATCATCCATGAGAAATTCCCCTATATCCTCTCCAGAAATTGAGGGGCCATTTTTAAAGCCTCCCTAAGAGTATTTTCCAGCATTGTGGAGAAGCTATTCTTATGAACAATACAAGTGACTTAAAGATGGTTACAAACTATTAATAATCCAATGATTTTAGACTCTACTCCATATTTGCTTAAAAATTATAAATATCGGAAACAAGAGATGATATCATCATAAGATCACAACAGTTACTGGACAGACAAAAGAGGACTGACCCACTCTAAAGGCTAGTGGTTTTCCTTTATTTAACTTTTCTTGTTCTCTGTGGTAGGATAATACCTTCTGAATGAGCACCTGGGCTATCTCCTTTTTCCTGCTCTGAGTTGATTCTACGAGGGTAATGGCCTCTGCCAAGCAGGCTCTGTGCCCTTGGATTAATCCACTGTAAAGTTTGTCTACAAGTCTCTGTTCCTTGTCACAAAGTCCCTGTGTTTGTTGGTCTACGGTTGCTTGATAACACATCCCTCTTTTCAAATCACTTGCTGGCAACATCCACTTTGTACAATACAAGCATACTGAATTAAAAGATTGGGTATATGGAAATAATGATCTAGGAGTGAAATTTGAGTGGAAGCTTTTGGAAGAAATCTTTCTCAGAAAACGGTAGTGAGGGAATCTTAGCAGCAATGACAACGTGTTCATCTTGTTTGGAATCAGAGAGTATCAGTGGTATCTGTTCAACTGTGTTTGCAGCCAGCCTAAAAGGAGAGAAAAACCACTTTAGTTTCTTAAAAATACCTCTAAACATTGAAATTAACAGATGTAGATGATCAATCTTTTCAGTCAAATCATTAGATTTTACTTTATCCACACCTGTGTCCATAACATGTACAAAGGAGATTTGCACACAAAACAGTTGTGTTAACTACTCTCTCTAAAAGATGACATTTTATTCTTGTTGGAAAAATATCACCATGGGAAACCACCCATTAAGTGGATTTAGGAAGACACATAATTGTTAATTTTTAAAGCTGAAGTTAATAAACTAAACCATTTGTTTAAAAAGTTTGTACTCTAGTTATAGGGAGAAAAAAAAATCATCTATCCTCTTGATCACCAGAAAGCTGTTTTAACAAAAAACCAAAAACCAAAAAAATTCACCTCAACAGGTAAGAAAGTTCTCATACACATCCCCCCTTCTGTGCTCTTGACACAACAAACCTTATATGTTTATCCAATAGTTTCCTCAGGTCTGTTCTGCTCTGAAGCCCATAATAAAATCAAATAAAACAACCCTCTGGAGTTTACCTTTTGTACCTTTTCTCCAGAAGTAGATGTAGTTAGGTGCACTAAATAAGTGTGGGGAACTTGGAAATAATTTGTTAACTTTGAAGATTTAAGATGGAGCCTATTAGGTCTCATCTACATGGAGGTTATTTTCTGGAAAGAAAAAAGAAAGTCCCATAATTGCACCCTCATAGACAAGTTGCCAGAAGCACTACAACACCTACTCTGAACAGGTTTAGACACTGGTTAAAATGTTGGCAACTACCTGAAGCTGCATCTATATTACTGCTCTGCTCAGTGGAGCTATGCCAAAATTAGCAATGATGGGAACTTTCTCAGAAAGAAGTCTAATGTAGAAGCAGCCTCGCAATGCAAGAGACATTCTATTCTACAATCCTATTTTCACTTCCTTGTAAATTTCACAATTTACAAAAAAGTCCATGTTTCCGGATTGCAGATCAGATACAGGTACAAATTTTCTATCTGCACAGGGCTCTACGCACACCTACAGTTCGTGAGCTTCAGCGAAGATGCTCCCCCTGCATAGAACTGTATTAACTTTAAACTACCTATATGCCTTTTCCAAGGCACCCGGTTTGTCTTTTAACTGGGCTACTGTAACTCCAGACAAAATCAGATGCATTAGCAATAGGACAAGATTTGACTACACTCCATAGCATGTGCACTCACTTTATACAGTGTATTATGTATTCTGCTTATTTTTACTGCAGCAAATCTTCAGAAAAAAAGCACAGACAAAACTGTACAACTAGTTCACTGTGATTGGGAAACACACTGACCAAAATTTTAAAATCTATGGGACTAAAGTTAGACTCCTAAATCAATATTTAGGCATCTAAGCAAAGTAGCCCTTACTCTGAGGGACTGAGCATCTCACATTCTCATTGACTTAAATGGAAGCTGGTATGCTTCTGAAAAATCAGGCCACTTCTATTTAAATGCCTACAGCCCAGGTCTTGCAATGACATCTATGCAGGTGAATCTCTACACACACACACAGATGTCATTGCAGAAGTGGGGCCTTGAGATGGATTTAGGAACCTAACTTTTGGGCAGACAAATTCAAAAAGGGTGGCCACTCTGAATCACTGGATTCTGCAAAACATCAAGTTTGTTAACAGATGACATAAGGAAACTGAACCACCAAGTGACGATTGTTCACTTATTTTGACAATGAAAATTTAGAAAATAAGAACATGGGAATGACCCCCCAGACCAGCAACCCCAGGGGTGAGGCAATGGCGGGCGCTGGAGCAGCTGTCGTCAGCTCCCGCCGCAGGAGCAGTGGCAGGAGGGGAGCAGCGGCCCCCGCGGGGTCAGCCCCTAGCAGCGCTCTGTTCGTGCCCCCCGCCCCGGAATTTTCAGGAAGAGCCAGGGACAGGTCATGGGATTCTGTGAATTTTTCTTGATTGCCCATGACCTGTCCCTGACTTGACTAAAACTACCCATGACAGAATCTTAACCTCACTCCTTGGCGATCCTCCAGTCGTCTGGTGCAGAGGCCACGTTAAGTGATAAGTTACACATCTCAGTTAGTAGTTCCGCAATTTCAAATGAGAGTTCCTTCAGTGAATCCCACCTGGCCCCGGGGACTCACTACGGTGAAAAGAAAAGGAGTACTTGTGGCACCTTAGAGACTAACCAATTTATTTGAGCATGAGCTTTCGTGAGCTACAGCTCACTTCATCAGATGTTTACCGTGGAAACTGCAGCAGACTTTATATACACACAGAGAATATGAAACAATACCTCCTCCCACCCCACTGTCCTGCTGGTAATAGCTTATCTAAAGTGATCAACAGGTGGGCCATTTCCAGCACAAATCCAGGTTTTCTCACCCTCCACCCCCCCACACAAATTCACTCTCCTGCTGGTGCTAGCCCATCCAAAGTGACAACTCTTTACATAGTCAAGTCGGGCTATTTCCTGCATAGATCCAGGTTTTCTCACATCCCCCCCCACCCCCATACACACACAAACTCACTCTCCTGCTGCTAATAGCTCATCTAAACTGACCACTCTCCAAGTTTAAATCCAAGTTAAACCAGAACATCTGGGGGGGGGGGGTAGGAAAAAACAAGAGGAAACAGGCTACCTTGCATAATGACTTAGCCACTCCCAGTCTCTATTTAAGCCTAAATTAATAGTATCCAATTTGCAAATGAATTCCAATTCAGCAGTTTCTCGCTGGAGTCTGGATTTGAAGTTTTTTTGTTTTAAGATCGCGACCTTCATGTCTGTGATTGCGTGACCAGAGAGATTGAAGTGTTCTCCGACTGGTTTATGAATGTTATAATTCTTGACATCTGATTTGTGTCCATTTATTCTTTTACGTAGAGACTGTCCAGTTTGACCAATGTACATGGCAGAGGGGCATTGCTGGCACATGATGGCATATATCACATTGGTGGATGTGCAGGTGAACGAGCCTCTGATAGTGTGGCTGATGTTATTAGGCCCTGTGATGGTGTCCACTGAATAGATATGTGGGCACAATTGGCAACGGGCTTTGTTGCAAGGATAAGTTCCTGGGTTAGTGGTTCTGTTGTGTGGTATGTGGTTGTTGGTGAGTATTTGCTTCAGATTGCGGGGCTGTTAGAAGGGGCCAGTCCTTGCCTACAGACAGCCCCGCAATCTGAAGCAAATACTCACCAACAACCACATACCACACAACAGAACCACTAACCCAGGAACTTATCCTTGCAACAAAGCCAGTTGCCAATTGTGCCCACATATCTATTCAGGGGACACCATCACAGGGCCTAATAACATCAGCCACACTATCAGAGGCTCGTTCACCTGCACATCCACCAATGTGATATATGCCATCATGTGCCAGCAATGCCCCTCTGCCATGTACATTGGTCAAACTGGACAGTCTCTACGTAAAAGAATAAATGGACACAAATCAGATGTCAAGAATTATAACATTCATAAACCAGTCGGAGAACACTTCAATCTCTCTGGTCACGCAATCACAGACATGAAGGTCGCGATCTTAAAACAAAAAAACTTCAAATCCAGACTCCAGCGAGAAACTGCTGAATTGGAATTCATTTGCAAATTGGATACTATTAATTTAGGCTTAAATAGAGACTGGGAGTGGCTAAGTCATTATGCAAGGTAGCCTGTTTCCTCTTGTTTTTTCCTACCCCCCCCCCCAGATGTTCTGGTTTAACTTGGATTTAAACTTGGAGAGTGGTCAGTTTAGATGAGCTATTAGCAGCAGGAGAGTGAGTTTGTGTGTGTATGGGGGTGGGGGGGATGTGAGAAAACCTGGATCTATGCAGGAAATAGCCCGACTTGACTATGTAAAGAGTTGTCACTTTGGATGGGCTAGCACCAGCAGGAGAGTGAATTTGTGTGGGGGGGTGGAGGGTGAGAAAACCTGGATTTGTGCTGGAAATGGCCCACCTGTTGATCACTTTAGATAAGCTATTACCAGCAGGACAGTGGGGTGGGAGGAGGTATTGTTTCATATTCTCTGTGTGTATATAAAGTCTGCTGCAGTTTCCACGGTATACATCTGATGAAGTGAGCTGTAGCTCACGAAAGCTCATGCTCAAATAAATTGGTTAGTCTCGAAGGTGCCACAAGTACTCCTTTTCTTTTTGCGAATACAGACTAACACGGCTGTTCCTCTGAAACCTGACTACGGTGAAATTCATTCAGTCTGCCCCCCAACGGTACAATGGTCGCACCGCTCACCAGTGCCATTCACACCCCACCCCCACACCCCCCCGTTCAGAGATCTGTGCTCTCTCCGCGCTGACACGGCCAGGACACGGGCTGTAGAAGTATCATCGGGTTATCCGGACAACCACAGCGCCCAGGAGCCCGCCGCACTCGCGCCGCGCCACGCAGCAAGGGCGGCGGGTCTACGCGGGGCTGCTCGTGTGAACGCGCACAACCCACGACGCCCCTCCCCCGCCGCCCCAGACACACAATCCCAATACGCCACTCGACACAGGCCCCCGGCGCGGCCCCCCCGCATCACCCACGGACCCCCCAAGGCCCAGCCCTACCCGCCCAGCAGCAGGTTCCGGCTCCGGCTCCGGCGGCTTCCCCGCGGCCTCCCAGCGCGGCCGAGCGGGACATCCGGAGCAAAGGGCGCGGTCGGCGGGGGGGCGCGTGTGTGAGCTCCAGGCATGCGCAATGCGCATTAGAGAGCACAGCGCCCGCACTTTCCTAGAGCTCGTGTGTACAAAGACTAGAGCAATCCCCCCCAGAGAGACCGCTTCCCCCTTCCCCCGTGTCCCCCAACACCCCCAGCCACCCCCGTACACATCCCTCTCCCAACAGACCCCCCAACACCCGCAGCCACCGCTCTAGGGGTCATCCCTGCACCCCAGCCCCCACACACCCCCTGAACCCCTGGCCCCACCACAGAGCTCGCATCCCCTCCTGACCCCCAATCTACAGCCCCCTCCCACACACCAAATCCCTCGCCCCACCCCCCAGCCTGGAGCCAAGCCCCTCAGCCCCACCCCTGAGCCATCACCCCCTCCCACACCCCAAGTCCCTGCCTGGAGCCCCCTCCTTTCTGGCCCCACCCCACTTAGAGCCCTCCCCCAGCCCAGTGAAAGTGAGTGAGAATGGGGGCGAGCAAGCCAGAGAGGGAAGGGGAATGTTAATGAGCGGGGGCGGGGCTAGGGCGTTTGGTTTTGTGCAATTAGAAAGTTGGCAACCCTACCCTGTACACACACCTCTCCCAGCTGACACGCCCTCTGCACACTCCTCTCCCAACACCCACAGCCACCCCCTGTGCACACACTTCTCCCAACACCCCCAACTGACACCTCCCAGACACACCACTACTCATATAACTGTCTCAGTGCCCAGACAGACACCTTCCAGTGCACACAGACATCCCACATATGCACCTACACCCCTCACTGTATATACACTCACCTCTCCCAACACCCCCAACAGACACCTCCATACACACCCCTCCCAACACCCACACACTTCCCCATACACACATATAGACAGCCTCTACCCAGACATCCTCACACCCACTGACCTTTTCCCCCGACCCCCCGTACTGTTCTGCTATTACATTCTAATCCTGGCCAGCAGATCTCATAGGAACAGCCACAAAGAGGAGCAGGTAGGGTGAAGAGGGCATAGTATCCTGTCACTGGTCCTGAGCTCTGCTAAACAACCCTCAATTAGACTTCAAACAGTAGGGCTTCTACACGCCCCTGACAACTTCACCCCCACAACAACTCACTCATTCACCAACATGCTGTCCCCCTATGAAAAAAGACACAAGAATGTGTGTATACCTGTTTATAATGGAAAACTGAAAAACCTGAGATTCCCCCTTGGCTGCTTTCCCCACACTCCCTAGCTTTTCTTCCATGTGCAAGGCCAAGGGGCAGGAGAAAGGGTGAGTGTGTTAGAAATTACTGAACAAACTTAGTATTTTTCTTATGAGAAAAAAATTATCTCCTTTATTTTAAATCAACCCAGGCACCAGTGGGATTCTCACTACCTTCTCTGCCCTACCTGGACATGTCTCTGTTCGTCCACTACTTCATTCAGCATCAGTTGTATGGTCACAGGACCACGAAGATGCCATCATGAGAAAGCCCCCTAAAGTCTGAGACGCAGGTCACAGCCTGACAAGGAGGCTGGTATACGCATCAGTTTCATATAGTAGCTGCAACAGCAGTTACCCAGTTGGTATTGGCACACCAGAGATCCAGGCTATAGTGCACAAGTGATCCAGGACCTGTAAGTCCTACATGCAGCTGCCTGAGAGGAGACTGAAATGGTGGTGGTCCATAAGCACCACAGGTTTTAACCATGTCTGCTTCCTTCCCAGTCTATCATATAGAACATACTGGAGCAAGTCTATAGCTGGTGACATGGATTTGCGGGTGCAGCATTGTGCATTGGACTCACAAAAGAGTGTGTAATTCAGCAAAGGGCTTGCAGCTGGTCGTCAGGCTGCATATGATTTTATCTTGGCACAGCAGACAGGGCATGTAGTGGATTAGCTCATGCCTCCTTTGCATGGACTGGTGCACCATAAGGATATGCCACACATTATTATCCCCCTAGGGAAGAATGACCTGGGAACGGGCTCCAGGCTCCAACTGATTTGGAAGGCTAAGCAGGATATTAGACTGCTGCTAGACATGTTTCCTAGCATGGGGATAATATAGTTGGAGATACTAGTCTGCAGGGTTTGGCAGACTGCAATCCACCCACAAAAAATGTGGATAGGGCCTGGAGGAGGACCAACTGGAAAGTACTGACATGGCTGGAGTCCTGAGGTAGCTTGGTTATCATCAGCCCAGCCTGTACCTGAGCTTTTTCTGATACAGGCACAGATTTGTTCCTGGATGATCTTAGTAGTGGGTTGGCTGAATTTCTAGGTAACTTCTTGTAGGGACATGGGTGTGGAGGCAGCCAATCTGATGCTAGTGCCTACTTGTGGCAGGTGACCAGTGCAGGAACTCATTGATTTAGACTCCAGATACAAACAGATAATGTAGAAGGCATCCCAAGGTGATGCCCCCATCTCATTAGGATATGATGTCTAACCTCCTGGGGGGAAATGCAAACCAGAGGCCAGGGGACACCCAGCCAATGCACTTGATGGCAGTGCAGGGTGATGGTCAATGTCCCCTCTGACCTCAATCCCCTAGAGGGGGAGAGATGCTATCAGGGGAGTGGAAGTGCCCAGAGACCTTCCTAATGTGATGACGGACTTCCCCTCCAGTGGAAGCCCCATGAATTGGCAAAGAATCAATGGGTTGCAAGTGATGGGGCTGTCCCTCAGCAGGAACCTTGGATGTAAATAAACTAATAAAGCTGCAGCTTAGTTAAAACACTTACTGTGTGTCTTGCCTTCTTCCATGCAGTGAGCACACCAAACTTCTTTTCAAATGCCAAGCTGCTAGATTTAACTTGCAGAAGAAGTGGTCCATACAATACCAAATCCAGCCCTTGAGTGAGGAAAAATGATGGGTTTACTGACACGTTCACCAGGTTGGGAAACCAAGATCTCCTGGGCCATTGGGGACCCAGTGAGATCACTTCCACTTCCTCCTCCTCGATCTTCTGTTACACCCTTGTGGTAATGGGCACTAGGGGAAAAACAAAGTAGCGCCTTGGCCACTTGAGCAACAGGGCACCTCTGTGTAGGGCTCTTGGCTCTTTCCACATTGCTAAGCATTGGCAAGCCTTCCAGTTTGCTTTGGATGGAAAAAAATCCCAAATTGGAGTTCCAAACATTTTGGTGATCAACTGGAAAGATTCATTGTGAAGACTCCATTTTATCTTATTGATTTTTCTTCTGCTCAGCCAGCCAGCCTTTATTACTGGTGGCCTTGATATGCAAAACCCTGATAGAAAATGGGCCTCTGTCCACTGCATCAATAATGCTGCTTCCTTATGTATATACCTTGACCTCCTACTGCAAGGTGGTTTACATATGTATGTTATCGCCAATGTATTGTCCATCGTTATGAGGATGATGGGGTCAGTTATTCAAAAACACACTTTCCTGCCCTCGGTTCTGGAAAATTCATGCTTTCCTTTTGTTCAGAGGACCACCACTCTGAGTCACTAACTTCTCAGAGAACGCACCCCATCCCTCCAGACCTATAGTTATGACAGACCTATCTGGTTCTGCCATGGCCATCTCTCCCTAGAACCTCTCCAAACTCATCCACCAATCCAGGGAATTCAAACACAAGTGATGGAACATTCACTTTCCAAGAAGAAAAAAATAAAATTAAATTAAAAAAAATCATAAAATGGCAGGAAAGGGAGACGAGGAAGCCCTGGAGAGTCCTCATATGCATTCTTGCCCAAACACTCAGAGTGCTGACATCTTTGCGCACCTCCTTTAGAGGGTAACTGCTGATCTGATCCTGTTCTGTCTTCCAGCTGACGGAAAAAAATTGTGGGTCTGTGTCTATCAACATTACAAGATGAACTAGGTGCCTGCTGTGGTAACTCCAGAAAAGAGACAAAGCGACTCTTCAAACTTTTTTTTTTTTTTTTTAGTGTGACCAGCGTGTCCAAATAAGACTAAATGTTATCCAAATTACTAATTAACAGAAGTCCTCTCTCTCTCACAGAAGGTGCTGGATTCCACTTCCCTATCAGTAGCTTACAGGAGGCAGAGCAGAACTAAAGGGGTCCCTGGAATGGGGTTGGGGAGGGCCACTGCCTCAGCCATCCAGTCAGTTTTGATTTTACTCACTACAGCAACAGATCAGTCAAGATCCACTCTGCTGATCTGTGGACTTATCCCTGACAGAGAAACAGTTATCTGATCCCAGGACATTTGATTTTGAATTTTTTTCCCATCCTGAATCAGGATGAAAACTTGAAATCTCAAAAATTTGCACAAACCAATAATCTATAAATATGTTGGATTGGGTCAATCAAAACATTTCAATAATTTCTAAAAATTTTGTTTCAACTTTGACCTTTCTAAATGTTAACCTTTTTGTGTAACTTACCTAAATTTTCAAAACAAAAAGTCATTTCAAACTGGAAAAACAAAAAACTTGTCCTGTTTCCACATTTTCAAAATTCTGTAAAAAAAATTTCAAATCTGAAGATTTATTAGAACAGATCCTTTCCCACCAACAATTTTGGGTTTAACAAATGGACATTGTCTGACAAAAAAAAGAGTGCTTTCTCAGAAAATTCCCAAACGTCTCTATTGGATAGCTTACAATGTAGTTTAAGACAGGATACAATAAATAGGTGCAAACAACAATAGGAGGGAATGGGGTGAAAGGTGGGAAAAATGATGATGTACATGAAGAAATAAAATCCAGTTCACTCAGTCTCTATTGGGGCAGTGCTGTCATTGAAAGACTGATGCCAAGTCGACATTAGAAAAAGTTTGCTCGTATAGTTATAATGGCAAACCGTCCCAGTGTAGACATACTTCATACCAGCAAAAAGTGCTTTTTCTGAGATTGCTTATAGCAGTTCCCTAAGTAAAATAAGCTATACTGGCAAAAACACTTTCTGTCGTAACTGCATCTACACTAGGGCTTTTACCAGGATAGAAATGTTGCCAAACACCCCTAAGCTACATTGCTATACTGACAAAGTTTCTAGATTAGACCTGGCCTAAGAGGACTAAAAATGTATATGTCCCTAATGTCAGCAGATCAGATTCTGAAAATACAGAGGCATGTTGCAGAAAAGGTGCCAGTTTTATCTAG